AATTTAATGAAATATATGCGAGTAAGTGATTTTCGGAAGTGGACCTTATATGGGAACTATGACCAATTATGGGCCTATTCGGGAAAAATTTCGCAAAGTGATTCATATTTGGACAAAACATGTTTGTGTCGAATTTTATCAAGATAGCTTTATATAATGAAGTATGTGCTTTTAAGTGATTTTCGTATGTGGGCCTTATATGGGAGTTATGACCAATAATGGACCGATCCGTAAAATTTTTGTAAATGATTTGTACGTACACAAACATATTTGTGCCGACTTTTATCCCAATAGCTTTAGAATTCTATGAAATATATGCGTTTAGGTGGTTTTCGGAACTATACCTTATATGGGAGCTATGACCAATTGTGGACCGACTGAGATCTACGTTGACAGTATGATTTCTGTTCGTATTATATTCGTATGTACAAAATTTGGTATTGATACCGATATATTTGAAGGAGTTATTAACGATAAACTAATTTCCGGGAATATATACCTTTGTATGGGGGCTATGGGAAATATTGGATCGATTGTAAAGATTTTGAACAGAATTGATCACTGCCCTGAAAAAATAAAGTGTGACAAAATTCATCGCAATATTTTTGGTAGTTTCTGAGAAAATTTCAAAATAATTACGAAAAAAACGTCATTTTTTTCGTGGTAGTCTGAAATTTTTACTCATAACTTTTAACGTTGTGAACCGATTTTGCTGATTTTCAATACCAAACTGCTTTTTGGTAAATTTGGTTTATTTCTTTTGCTTAGTTTTAACGTGAGCGTGTTCTAGGCAGACAGACAGACAGACGGACAGACGGACATAGCTAAATCGACTCAGAATTTCATAAGGATCAAGAATATATATACTTTGTTGGGTCTCAGATGAATATTTCTAGGTGTTACATACGGAATGACAAACTTATATATACCCTCTATTACCACTGATGGTGGTGGAGGGTATAAAAACATTTGTTCTTCTTCTTGAATTATTTTTGTTAAAAAATATGTTTCTTTTGCATTGTAAATAAATAAACATTTAATTTTTGTATTTGTCTTTAGTCGCCAGTTTTTTTTCAATTTTCTATTTAATTTCAACAAATAATTGCACATTTTTTTTTTTTTTTGCAAAATTTTCAATTTAATAAAAAGACATTCATCCCATTTCTTGCGCATTTAAAAACAAAATAAAAAAGAATTGTCTTTGAAAAGAAGAAAAAACACAGTCAACGGACGGTCATTGTCTTAAGAAAATTTTTCGAATGCAGTTTGTTGTCGACCAAAAGCGGCAGATGCGTTTTTAAAATAAATTTTATAAAAATATAAAAAAATATAATAAATTCACCCAAAAAAAGTGTGATAATGAACTTAAAATTTTTAATATAAAAAAAAAATAAATTATTGCCTAAAAAAATTTAAATTTATTTAGTAAAATTTACCTAAAGATTTAATTTTGTTTACCTAAAATCTTATCTTTTTGGTTCTTTTCTTTTTGTCTAAAAATATATGTAAATTTATTTAATAGACAAGTAAAGCATATTATGCTAAATAAAATTGTGTCAAATTTTTGTGAGTAACGAGTGAAAAATGTGTAAATAATTTAAATTATTTGTTAAAGATTAAATTTTTTTTTTGAAAATTTATCACGTATATGCAGTTTTATGTTTATTATTAAGTTATTAAGTAAAGTGTTTATTTAAGTGTTGAATTTCGCTCACATGTTGTATTTTTTATGATGACGAAAGAATTAAATTGTAATCGGATTTATACTTACGCACGCAGTTTGTTAAATCATTCATTTTATAAAAAAATTCTTAGTCCTTATTAAACTAAAATTTTTACTAAAGAATTCTAGAAAAAATTTCCAATATTTGCTCAACTTAGAAAATATTCGCGAATAATTCCAGAAATTCCCTTATATACAACTACACTACATTATAGACTACACTAAAAATAATCCATGTCTTGTTGAAGAAAATGCTTGGTCATTTCGCAAGGGTTATATTAAATAATATTTCGTATTATATACGAAATTTTCGTAAACATTACGAAAAAATATAATCGCGAACGTCACATAATAAGCGAGATATTCGTAAAAACAGATTTTTGTGACCTTTGACCGCCACTATTTGGTGCCTTTCCATGACATTGAATCCAGTATATAAAACTCCGCAGCAAACCCTTATTTTCCCGGTTTAATATTTTTTGCACATTATTATTATATTCGTGTTTTAGACCGTTATTTTTTTGTCAATATTTTAATATCAAAAATTTATACAATATATTGATGTATTTGTCGCTAATGTTCCTAAAACATGCAATAATTAAAAAAAAATTTAAATTTTTCGGCACCTTTTTATACAAAGCGTGCAAAAAATCTAAATTTAATCTAAAATCGCCATTTTTAGCTTAATTTGAGGTGCAAAAACACCATTATTCGGAAACAACGAAAATGTATGATCATGATTGACATATCATTCAATGGCCCTACGTAGGAGCGTTCATATGATACCCAGACTATAGACTAGAGTATAGACTAGACTATAGAATAGACTATAGACTAGTGTATAGACTAGACTATAGACTAGACTAGACTATAGACTAGACTATAGACTAGACTATAGACTAGACTATAGACCAGACTATAGACTAGACTATAGACTAGACTATAGACTAGACTATAGACTAGACTATAGACTAGACTATAGACTAGACTATAGACTAGACTATAGACTAGACTATAGACTAGACTATAGACTAGACTATAGACTAGACTATAGACTAGACTATAGACTAGACTATAGACTAGACTATAGACTAGACTATAGACTCGACTATAGACTAGACTATAGACTAGACTATAGACTAGACTATAGACTAGACTATAGACTAGACTATAGTCTAGACTATAGACTAGACTAGACTAGACTATAGACTAGACTATAGACTAGACTATAGACTAGACTATAGACTAGACTATAGACTAGACTATAGACTAGACTATAGACTAGACTATAGACTAGACTATAGACTAGACTATAGACTAGACTAGACTAGACTATAGACTAGACTATAGACTAGACTATAGATTAGACTATAGACTAGACTATAGACTAGACTATAGACTAGACTATAGATAGACTATAGACTAGACTATAGACTAGACTAGACTAGACTATAGACTAGACTATAGACTAGACTATAGACTAGACTATAGACTAGACTATAGACTAGACTATAGACTAGACTATAGACTAGACTATAGACTAGACTATAGACTAGACTATAGACTAGACTATAGACTAGACTATAGACTAGACTATAGACTAGACTATAGACTATAGACTAGACTATAGAACTAGAACTATAGACTAGACTATAGACTAGACTATAGACTAGACTATAGACTAATAACTATGAGACAGACTAGATAACAGACGATAGACTAGACTTAGACGAGCTAGACTAGACTATAGACGAGACTATAGACTAGACTATAGACTAGACATAGACTACTATAGACTAGACTATAGACTAGACTATAGACTAGACCTATAGACTAGACTAATAGACGATACTATAGACGAGAATATAGACTAGACAGACTAAAGACTAATAGACTACACTATAGACTAGGATAATAGACTACACTATAGACTAGACTATAGACTACACTATAGGCGAGCTATAGAACTAGAATAGACTATAGACTAGACCTAGACTCTAGACTACACTTATAGACTAGATAAGAGACTACACTATAGACTAGACTATAGACTACACTATAGACTAGAACTATAGACTAGACTATTGACCTTAGTCATATAACTAGAACTAAAGGCCTCGACTATTGACTAGTCTATAGGCAAGACTATAGACTGAGTATTGACTAGAGTATAGACTCGACTATAGACTAGACTAATGACTCAACTATTGAATAGTCTATAGACTATAGTCTAGACTATAGACTAGACTATAGATTAGACTATAGACTAGAGTATAGACTAGACTATAGACTCGACTATAGACTAGACTATAGACTAAAGTATAGTCTCGAATAAAGACTTGACTATTGACTAGTCTATAGTCCAGACATTAGTCTATTTTGCGGTCATAGACTAGTTTACAGAGTGTGGTCTAGTCAATAAAACTAGACTATAGACATGACTATAGGTTACACTATATGTAGTTATGCAGTTCTTGAGTTATATATGGTAAACTTTTATGATATGATTTTGATAGATCTATAGTCTAGTCTATAGACTAAAGACTAGACCATAAACTAGACTATAGACTAGACTGCAGACTCTACTATTGAGGATACTATAGACTAGACTATAAACTATACTACATCTAGTCATATAAGTAGTTCTTCAGTTATATATAAGTACATAGTAAAATTTGATGACAAACTGATATGATTTTTACAGATTTTAATTATTTTCGAAATTTTACAGAATGTTTTCATTAATTTCAGCATTTCGAGAATTATTTTCTTATTTATTCTCTTCTCTTCCCGGTGTCTAACATTCTGTCTGTTTGTCTGTATTTACTTTAATAAATCTTATTGTTATTAATTTTTCTACTCACGCCTACACTAATTTAATTTGTTGCAAAAATAAATTATATATTAAATACAAACAAATTATACCCCTTGACAAAGTTCATGTTCATGCTTTGCATCATCTATTTAACCACATCATTGTGACCCAAGCAAATACAAAATCAAAAAACAAATTCATACAAAAGAAAAACACAAAAAGCGATTCATATCTATAATCAAAATAAATCAAAAAACTGTTTACTAAAGTACGACAACAACAAAAGCAACAAAATAATTTACTAACTCTATTCAACAGATGTTTTTTTTTCTATTATTATTTTTTCTAAAATTCATAATTTTTGCTTTTGTTTACATTTTTTTTGTTTAAAAGTGACGTTTTAATTAGATGTGACGACAACATATCTAAATGATAGAACAACAACAAAACTTTACTTTTAAACGGAATAGCTACGGCAACAATAACATTAAGCAAATAATAAATACCGGCAAAATTAGAAAAAAAAATCCACAACAACAGCAAAAACAACTAAACAAAATCACCGCAATATGTTAGAAATTGATAAGATTTTAGAAAAATGTGGCGATTGTCATCGTTGCAGGCCTTGATGTTGTTGTTATTTTGTGTCATTAATTTGCTCTCTTCGATGCATTATTACTCACAGACAATCATCAGTTTTAACAACCGAAATATTGGTGAGTATAAAGGGGAGATGGAATGACTAACTAACTAACTACTAACTACTAACTAACTAACTAACACTAACTAACTAACTACTAACTACAACTAACTAACTAACTAACGAACTACTAACTAACTAACTAACTAACTAACTAACTAACTAACTAACTAACTAACTAACTAACTAACTAACTAACTAACTACTAACTAACTACTAACTAACTACTAACTACTACTACTAACTAACTAACTAACTAACTAACTAACTAACTAACTAACTAACTAACTAACTAACTAACTAACTAACTAACTAACTAACTAACTAACTACTAACTAACTAACTAACTAACTAACTAACTAACTAACTAACTAACTACTAACTAACTAACTAACTAACTAACTAACTAACTAACTAACTAACTAACTAACTAACTAACTAACTAACTAACTAACTAACTAACTAACTAACTAACTAACTAACTAACTAACTAACTAACTAACTAACTAACTACTAACAACTAACTAACTAACTAACTAACTAACTAACTAACTAACTAACTAACTAACTAACTACTAACTACTAACTAACTAACTAACTAACTAACTAACTAACTAACTACTAACTAACTAACTAACTAACTAACTAACTAACTAACTAACTAACTAACTAACTAACTAACTAACTAACTAACTAACTAACTAACTAACTAACTAACTAACTAACTAACTAACTAACTAACTAACTAACTAACTAACTAACTACTAACTAACTACTAACTACTAACTAACTAACTAACTAACTAACTAACTACTAACTAACTACTAACTAACTAACTAACTAACTACTAACTAACTAACTAACTAACTAACTAACTACTAACTAACTAACTACTAACTAACTAACTAACTAACTAACTAACTAACTAACTAACTAACTAACTAACTAACTAACTAACTAACTAACTAACTAACTAACTAACTAACTAACTAACTAACTAACTAACTAACTAACTAACTAACTAACTAACTAACTAACTAACTAACTAACTAACTACTAACTAACTACTAACTAACTAACTAACTAACTACTAACTAACTAACTAACTAACTAACTAACTAACTAACTAACTAACTAACTAACTAAACTACTAACTAACTAACTAACTAACTAACTAACTAACTAACTAACTAACTAACTAACTAACTAACTAACTAACTAACTACTAACTAACTAACTAACTAACTAACTAACTAACTAACTAACTAACTAACTAACTAACTAACTAACTAACTAACTAACTAACTAACTAACTAACTACTAACTACTAACTAACTAACTAACTAACTAACTAACTAACTAACTAACTAACTAACTAACTAACTAACTAACTAACTAACTAACTAACTAACTAACTAACTACTAACTAACTAACTAACTACTAACTAACTACCTAACTAACTAACTAACTAACTACTAACTAACTAACTACTAACTAACTAACTAACTACTAACTACTAACTAACTAACTAACTACTAACTAACTAACTAACTAACTAACTAACTAACTAACTAACTAACTAACTAACTAACTACTAACTAACGAACTAACTAACTAACTAACTAACTAACTAACTAACTAACTAACTAACTAACTAACTAACTAACTAACTAACTAACTAACTAACTAACTAACTAACTACTAACTAACTAACTAACTAACTAACTAACTAACTAACTACTAACTAACTAACTAACTAACTAACTAACTACTAACTAACTAACTAACTAACTAACTAACTACTAACTACTAACTAACTAACTAACTAACTACTACCACTAACTAACTAACTAACTAACTCCTAACTAACTAACTAACTAACTAACTAACTAACTACTAACTAACTAACTAACTAACTAACTAACTAACTACTAACTAACTAACTAACTAACTAACTAACTACTAACTAACTAACTAACTAACTAACTAACTACTAACTAACTACTAACTAACTAACTAACTAACTAACTAACACTAACTACACTAACTAACTAACTAACTAACTAACTACTAACTAACTAACTACTAACTAACTAACTAACTAACTAACTACTAACTAACTACTAACTAACTAACTACTAACTACTAACTACTACTAACTAACTACTACTAACTAACTACTAACTAACTAACTAAAATGAGAAATTTTCTATTGAAAGACAATTTTAGGAAATTGGCTTCTATAGCGAAAAAACTTTTAAAGAAAAATTTTGATAGAATGAACATTTCAAGAAACTTTTAACAAAATTGCATCTAGTTTATCTCTCCATCTGCTCTTAATATATTTATTCCATTATCCTACTTCTCTATTTGCCTTAATTAGGTGTGCTAACCGATACCTTAGAAAATGAGACTTTTACCCATCCAAGCTCCCCTAACATCTTCATGTTTACCCATAGAAAATGCCAATACAAACTCCTGTTCCAGCTACAATTATGAATTGTATATGGGTTATGAAAGTTTTACCAGTGAATTGGATTGGATCTGTGATAATGCCTGGAAATTAACATTGGTTCAAAGTATGTTCTTTGTGGGGTCGGTAGTGGGTTCTTTGGTATTGGTATCTTGGCCGATATAGTGGGTGAGTGCAAGTTAAAATTAATACAAAAAATGTCATTAATATTTTTCTTGAAGGACGTTTAACCCATTCTAATAGTGGCTAATATGGTGGCCATGATGGGTAATATTTTGACTATATTCGTACCGAGTTGGTAACATTTTCGCTATGTCGGTTTTTATCGGGCTTGGCCACCGATAGTAATTTTGTAATGATGTATATATTGGGTAAGTTGTATGGAATTTGAAAATTAGGAGTCTAGACAACTGATTATAAAGTTTTACTTTTTAGTTATGGAATATCTGAGACCCTCATTGCGCACTGTAGGCCTTAGTATCTGTATAGGTTTCTTTTATTGCCTGGGCTCTATGGCGGCACCCTGGATAGCAGTGTTAATGCAAAGTTGGCGGGGTTTTCTAATGGCCACCTCAATACCTCTAATCACAGTGCCCCTCTTCTATTTTGTGGTGCCCGAAAGTGTTCAATGGCTGATATCGAAACAGAAATATGACAAGCGGTAAGTAGTGTTTGAAAAGAGTGGCCAAAATAAATGGCAAAGTTGTGGATGAATCAAGTTATATTGAATTCATTGAAGAATGTAAACGCAACCAGTTGCATACAAAAGTTGCGCCCAATTTATGGGGACTCTTTGCCACACCACGTCTAAGGCGCAATACATTGATATTGTTTTTTAAATCGTAAGTTGTACTGTGTCTGTGGCTGTAACAGACACTAATGAGTTTGTTATTAATGTTCAATTAATGTGGCATTTTGTTCATTTGTTCTTTCGGCTTTTTTGGTTGGATTTGGTTGCATATTGTTCCTCCTTGGTCTGACTGCATAGAATGGTAATTACTTTGTGCTACGATGCAGTTTCACGTAACGTACAAGGTCTTGGCATTTCCCCATTTGTCATGTTTACTTTGAGTGCCACTAGCATATTGCCAGCTTGTTTGCTTCTAATTGCTTTGCAAGATCGTATCGGTCGCAAAGCCATGGCATCAATGTCTTTGCTACTGAGTGGCATATTTATATCATGCACCGGAATTATACTCTTTACAAATGTGGAAAGTTCAACGGATCAAAGTAAATTTAAATAAATAAATATTTAATTTAAATAATTGTAAAATATCCTCCCCCCTGTAGGCGTTGCTGTGGTGGTGGCTCTCTCGGTTATAGGTCGTTTTGGTGTTACGGTGGCCTATAATTCTGGCGCCCAGTACGCCACCGAATTAATACCCACCTGTGTGCGTGGCCAGGGTGTGCTGCTGTGCATGTCATGGGTTATGCTTTTATTTTTCAGTTCCTACATTCTTCATACGCGCCAATATTTTTCACCTTTACCCGAAATTATTTTGGGTTTAATTTCTCTTTTAGGTGGTGGTTTATGTCTGCTGCTGCCCGAAACCTTAAGTCGGTAGGTTCTTATAAAAAATTTCAAAGAGAATGATACAATTTCAAAATTCCCTTTTTCAGCACTTTACCCACCTCCCTGGAGGATGGCGAGAATTTTGGCAAAAATGAACGTTGGTTTATGTTTAGCTTTATGGAAAGACGCTCCCAATCGGTGGATACTCTGGCTCCCTCCACCTCTACAAATCTACATCCAGATAGTGCTTCCTATTTTTAATATCTTTGTTTTTGTATTGAAATAATTATCGAATTTTTATATGTTTAAGTATTATTTTTAAGGTTTTAGGGTAATTTTGCATTTGGAGTTACATAAGTAGTTTTTTTTTTCAAAATAGTTCCTTGTTTTCCATGTGATTTTTGAACATTTTACCAAAGAAATATATTAACAACTAATTTAAACTAAAATTCCCCAAAAAATGGAATATGTATTTGTAATAAAATCGGGAATTTCGGCCCCTAAGAAAAAAATTCTATTATATATTCCAAAAATTTTCCTGTGATATTTCCATTAATAACTTCCGAGTTTAAAATTAATCTACTAGAACAGAACTAGAACTGAAAGAGAACTGAACTAGAACTGAACTAAAACTGAACTAGAACTGAACTAGAACTGAACTAGAACTGAACTAGAACTGAACTAGAACTGAACTAGAACTGAACTAGAACTGAACTAGAACTGAACTAGAACTGAACTAGAACTGAACTAGAACTGAACTAGAACTGAACTAGAACTGAACTAGAACTGAACTAAACTGAACTAGAAGAACTAGAACTGAACTAGAACTTAACTAGAACTGAACTAGAACTGAACTTGAACTGAACTAGAACTGAACTAGAACTGAACTAGAACTGAACTAGAACTGAACTAGAACTGAACTAGAACTGAACTAGAACTGAACTAGAACTGAACTAGAACTGCACTAGAACTGAACTAGAACTGAACTAGAACTGAACTAGAACTGAACTAGAACTGAACTAGAACTGAACTAGAACTGAACTAGAACTGAACTAGAACTGAACTAGAACTGAACTAGAACTGAACTAGAACTGAACTAGAACTGAACTAGAACTGAACTAGAACTGAACTAGAACTGAACTAGAACTGAACTAGAACTGAACTAGAACTGAACTAGAACTGAACTAGAAGAACTAGAACTGAACTAGAACTGAACTAGAACTGAACTAGAACTGAACTAGAACTGAACTAGAACTGAACTAGAACTGAACTAGAACTGAACTAGAACTGAACTAGAACTGAACTAGAACTGAACTAGAACTGAACTAGAACTGAACTAGAACTGAACTAGAACTGAACTAGAACTGAACTAGAACTGAACTAGAACTGAACTAGAACTGAACTAGAACTGAACTAGAACTGAACTAGAACTGAACTAGAACTGAACTAGAACTGAACTAGAACTGAACTAGAACTGAACTAGAACTGAACTAGAACTGAACTAGAACTGAACTAAACTGAACTAGAACTGAACTAGAACTGGACTAGAACTAGAATGAACTAGAACTGAACTAGAACTGAACTAGAACTGAACTAGAACTGAACTAGAACTGAACTAGAACTGAACTAGAACTGAACTAGAACTGAACTAGAACTGAACTAGAACTGAACTAGAACTGAACTAGAACTGAACTAGAACTGAACTAGAACTGAACTAGAACTGAACTAGAACTGAACTAGAACTGAACTAGAACTGAACTAGAACTGAACTAGAACTGAACTAGAACTGAACTAGAACTGAACTAGAACTGAACTAGAACTGAACTAGAACTGAACTAGAACTGAACTAGAACTGAACTAGAACTGAACTAGAACTGAACTAGAACTGAACTAGAACTGAATTAGAACTGAACTAGAACTGAACTAGAACTGAACTAGAACTGAACTAGAACTGAACTAGAACTGAACTAGAACTGAACTAGAACTGAACTAGAACTGAACTAGAACTGAACTAGAACTGAACGAGAACTGAACTAGAACTGAACTAGAACTGAACTAGAACTGAACTAGAACTGAACTAGAACTGAACTAGAACTGAACTAGAACTGAACTAGAACTGAACTAGAGAAGAATTAGAACTGAATTAGAACTGAACTAGAACTGAACTAGAACTGAACTAGAGAAGAATTAGAACTGAATTAGAACTGAACTAGAACTGAACTAGAACTGAACTAGAACTGAACTAGAACTGAACTAGAACTGAACTGGAACTGAACTGAACTAGAACTGAACTAGAACTGAACTAGAACTGAACTAGAACTGAACTAGAACTGAACTAGAACTAGAACTGAACTAGAACTGAACTAGAACTGAACTAGAACTGAACTAGAACTGAACTAGAACTGAACTAGAACTGAACTAGAACTGAACTAGAACTGAACTAGAACTGAACTAGAACTGAACTAGAACTGAACTAGAACTGAACTAGAACTGAACTGAACTAGAACTGAACTAGAACTGAACTAGAACTGAACTAGAACTGAACTAGAACTGAACTAGAACTGAACTAGAACTGAACTAGAACTGAACTAGAACTGAACTAGAACTGAACTAGAACTGAACTAGAACTGAACTAGAACTGAACTAGAACTGAACTAGAACTGAACTAGAACTGAACTAGAACTGAACTAGAACTGAACTAGAACTGAACTAGAACTGAACTAGAACTGAACTAGAACTGAACTAGAACTGAACTAGAACTGAACTAGAACTGAACTAGAACTGAACTAGAACTGAACTAGAACTGAACTAGAACTGAACTAGAACTGAACTAGAACTGAACTAGGACTGAACTAGAACTGAACTAGAACTGAACTAGAACTGAACTAGAACTGAACTAGAACTGAACTAGAACTGAACTAGAACTGAACTAGAACTGAACTAGAACTGAACTAGAACTGAACTAGAACTGAACTAGAACTGAACTAGAACTGAACTGGAACTGAACTGGAACTGAACTAGAACTGAACTAGAATGAACTAGAACTGAACTAGAACTGAACTAGAACTGAACTAGAACTGAACTAGAACTGAACTAGAACTGAACTAGAACTGAACTAGAACTGAACTAGAACTGAACTGAACTAGAACTGAACTAGAACTGAACTAGAACTGAACTAGAACTGAACTAGAACTGAACTAGAACTGAACTAGAACTGAACTAGAACTGAACTAGAACTGAACTAGAACTGAACTAGAACTGAACTAGAACTGAACTAGAACTGAACTAGAACTGAACTAGAACTGAACTAGAACTGAACTAGAACTGAACTAGAACTGAACTAGAACTGAACTAGAACTGAACTAGAACTGAACTAGAACTGAACTAGAACTGAACTAGAACTGAACTAGAACTGAACTAGAACTGAACTAGAACTGAACTAGAACTGAACTAGAGAAGAATTAGAACTGAATTAGAACTGAACTAGAGAAGAATTAGAACTGAACTAGAACTGAACTGGAACTAAACCATTTATAAACAAAATAGTTGTGTTACTTTGCCTACATTTTATCTTATTTGAAAACTTTCAGGATCTTAAATATTTCTTAACTGATCTATTTTTAGCATCACGAAATTGTTACAATATTCGTGCATTAAAATAAGATTTAATTCAATATGTATGTTCTTTCTGCTTGTCACTTGACAATTTGGTCTCCTTTTATGAACCACTTCTATGCATAGATTGTTGTTCCGTGAACTGTTTTAAAATTAACAATTTTGCTGAATCACTAACATTTAGCACCTGTGCTTAAACATACATTTAAGGCAATAAATTTACGAAACTAAAATTGTTAGCAAAAACTAAATGACAGATAGTTAACAATAGAATATGAGAATACAATTACCATTGGCTGACTTCAATTGGTAGAGCCAGGTTGTTGGTACCTAAAAAAGCGTGTTTTAAATAATGTTCTGTTATTTTTATTAGACCATAAAAACGAAAAGGTTACTTACAAAACACATTGAAATTGTATTACAACGATCCATTTAAAGTTCCCCAAAAAAAACTTTTTTTTTCTTTTAAAAAGACTTGAATTAAAGTCATAGAGTAGTGAAAAAATAACAACAAAAAACGACGCATATCTACGATTAAAAATGCAATACATGTCAATAAATGTTTAATACGAATAATAGAGCTTTTTCGTCTGTACACATGAATACATTTAAATGAAAATCGAATTAGAATTGGAACGACAAGCGGCAAATCATATTGTCATACTTGCTTGCGAAGTAGCAGAATACGGAAATCATACTGAGTGTTATTTGAAAGATACACAGACGCACAAGTATGAACTAGTTCCTGCTTGGGTGTTGTTGTTCTTAAAAGCAAAAAACTAGAGAGATTCTGCTTGATTGTAGTTAAACGCTTTAATTCTAATTCTAATTCCACTTACATTACATTTGATCATGTTAGAAAAGGTCAAGCAAGCAGCAGCATTAGTTCTCTAAAACGTTTAATATTTTTCCTATTAAAATTGAGATTGTAAACGTTTAACATTATGATCACATAAACATTTATTCATTCATAGTTTTCTTGGCTAAAGACAATCAAATTCAACTCCGTCTGTATGTCTTAAACTCTAAGTTTATTATGCAAAATCCAACAAAAAAAATATATATTTTTCATTCAATTTTATAATTTAATTTATTTGCCATCAACTAATGCATGTGATGAAAAAAAAAAACTTAAGTAAATGGAAACGTTGACATGTCTCACATCAGAATCTATAAAAAGAAATAAGTTTTAATCGCGAAATGATCTTGTATATAGAAACAAAAAAAAAAAAACAACTAACTTTTCAATACATTTCAGCTGGAATTCAGCTTCACTATGATGAAGTCTGAAAAGCCTGAAGACAACAATGAAGACATACAAAATACGTTTCGCTTGTTATTTCGCGCAGTCGTATTATCATAAGGTTAAGAGATGTAAATCAATGACAATTACAAGACAATTGAAAGTTTAAAGTTGGTGTTTTTCTTTGGTTTCAATTTTTTCTAGGAAATTGCAAAAAAAGTTGTTGATTTTTTTTGTTCATTTTGACTTTTTTGTATTATGACCCAAAGACCAATTTTGTGTTTTTTCTTTTGCGAAATGTGGGCAAAGTCACTACTTTCATTAAGAAAAAATTCAAAGGAAGTCAAATGTTTGAGATGTTATAAAATTTATCTTAAACAATCTTCTCTCAGAAATTTGTAATGTTGAAATATTCTATAAGATATAGTGTTATTCGAAAAAGTTCTATAAGAAATTTCAATGCTCGAAAAATGTTTTATCTAAAATTTTAATGTTGAAATTTTTTACTATACAATTTTTTGTAAAAAACTTAAATGTTCGAAAATTTTCTTATAAAATT